AACTTTAGAATAACTCCATGGGTCCATGGAAGAGTGGGGACCTAGCAGGGGAACTAATTAGTCTTTATCTGACCATAATCCAAATTTTTTGACTTAGTGCTAAACTTCAGTTAATTTCAAATCCAGGCTACCATTCCAGTTACATATAGCTGGACTGAGATTTTCCCATCAGCAATGGATACCTATATTGAAAGATGGATTGGATGGGAAACTTGGCTGTTCAGGTGCTTGCTTTTTAATTTGTCACCATTTTTTCCTCATGTTCAAATAAGACCCTTGTGGTGCTAATAATGTAAAGTATGTCCAATATCTATGAAAATCTAGCATATCTGGAATGTTTTCCCGTATGTTTTCCCCAAATTATGGGATAAAGTAGCCAAGGTGATATAGTTCATTGGATGAACCACTTCCAGTGCATTTGCACAATACTTTAAAGGTTTTTTTTAAGCTCCATTTTAAATTTCTTTAAATTCCATCAATGAATTTATTTTTCTTCGATATATCTAAGCAGTTAAATAGTTTTCCTGTATCCTCACCAGCAAAAGTTAGTCCAGTCAGCATCTTTTATTAACTGGGTATCTCCAGCCATCTTTGATCATTATCATCTGAGAAAGGTAATAATAGCAGGATGTTCTGCTTCTAGCTTAATGTTTCAGCTGGACCTGTTTTCAAGGCAAGAAACTTGGGTTCTGTATGATTTTACCACTAGATTATTGAGTTGTATTAGGCCACCACAGGTGCAACCATGCTCTGGATTCAGTGGCTGAGCTAGAATGATTCTCCTGATAACAGAGGGTGAGAGACAGACCCAGCCTGTAAAACAAGGGATGATGTGCAGAGAAGACACAAGTCTCCATTCTGAGCCACAGTTACCTATTTATTTCTTTTGCAAATCATTTTGGTAAACATTTGTAAAAGTTGTTTGGGTGAGATAACCTATACGGGACAATGTATTTTTAGATCTCCTAGGCATGATCCTGCAAATCTCTCTTATAATTAACACCAGTTGAAAGGGACTTGTTTTCCTGCTGCCATGCACAAGAGGAACAGGGACTCCTCCTTGGTTTTTATGGCTCTACCTTTTGGATTCCTTTTGCAGACTTTGGCACCTGGATTCCTAATATAATCTTGGGTCCATAGCTAAGAAGCATCTCAATTTAACAATCTGCCAGGCTGATTCCAATCTCTCCTGAGCAGAAACTGTTGTTGTTTTGCAGTTAAAGAATAAGATTGTATCCAATGTTTTTATCATTGTTTTTATTTTGAACTTTCTAACCTGCACTTTGAGGTCTTTGCTTTTCTTTAAGCTTTTTAACCACAGATACTTATTACTGTTCCTTTACCAAGTTTAAACTTTATTCTTTATTTTGAGACTTCATTTATGACACTTATTTGAGGATTTTGTTTGGAAGGGGTAGTAATTTGCCTGTCCCCCCAATTACTAAGAGAAAAAATGAAAAGTAAAAAAAATGCTTTATAAACTCATAACTTATTGCTGATTATAATTACTGGTTGTTAATTTCAGTCCTGTAGATCTTTAATTTTATTGTTTAGATAGGACTGGGACAAAAAAAATAAAACAAAATAACCTCATTTAGCAGTACAGTGGAATTGTGTTTAAATGTTAGCATATGTTTCTGCTTAATAGTAGCACTTTAATACCATTAAACATTTCTGTATCTGAAATACGTTTGTTCTGCCATGTTGGTCACTCATGAGACTTTAGAATACTCATGTTGTTTGTGCCTGGAAAAAAAACCCCTCCATTGGCCATGTGATTAGATACCCCAAATTACTTCTCCAGTAGATCTTGTCTCAGTACTGTTATGTTGTGTGATTTAACTCTAATGTGTTAGGCATTTACCCCAGATCTATTATTATATTGTATAACGTACCACTTTAGGACCTGTGTCATGTATTAGAGACATCATGCTGCCAGGTTTTATAGTGTGTTCATAGCTGGGGTTTTAATTCTTACGTTCATTAAAATCTGGTTGCAGTTACACATCTCTCTCCAATGGAACTAAAACTAAGTAACACCAGTTTATATGGTAACCTCTCCCTCTAGTGGCTGAAATAGAAATTGTTAGTTTTAGTTAATGAGAGTAAAGATTTTAGTTAAGAACGTTTTATAATTCTGAAGCCTATTAATATGGCTAGTGTCTTAGTATAATTTGGTGGGATTACAAGAATGATAGCTGAAAACTCAAATGAGCTGTCATTTCCCAATCTACGATTTCTTATTCCAGCAAAATAAACTTGTTTCTGTGAATTCAGGTGCAGAAACTTACCTAAGAGTATTTTCTCTAAGCAAAAAGGCCTAACTTCAAATGTTAATGGTATCTTCACCAGCCCACTGGGTCTTAGTGTGCTAGAACTAGAAAGGCAAGGCTGGATAATAAGTTCTAACACGCTATCAATACAGGGGACAGGCAGGAACCTGATGAGAAGCCTGATATAGTGGGTTGTATGAGAGAATAATTTCAGGAAGAAAGGCTGAAGAAACACCCTTGACTTAAAAGTCTGGATAGTTTGCCTCAAAGAATGCACAGCTTTGATTAATATTATCTTAAATTAAGATAATGTAAAAATGTTTCTGCACCAATTGTTTTCCAATAAATTCTGTTTAGTCCTAATGGAAAACCATGTAATCATTCACCTTGTCATTGGACAACCATTTGTCTGAAATGGTATAGGGGTTCCTGCCTGAAATGGCACAGGGCAGAGGTCTCCAAACTTGGCAACTTTAAGACTTGCGGCCTTCAACTCCCAGAATCACTGGCTGAGGAATTCTGGGAGTTGAAGGCCACAAGTCTTAAAGTTGTCAAGTTTGGAGACCTCTGGTATAGGGGGTTGGACTAGAAGACCTTCAAGGTCCCCCCCAACTCTGTTGTTCTATTCTGTTCATAACCTTCTTTGGTATATTTGACTTGGTAAATAAGAAACAATCAGGACAGGCATTTCTGGAGATAATACTCTCCATTTTACACTGTGAAAAAAAAGTGTTACATCATTTATTGAGTAGGTATACTGCAGCCAGCCTGTCATAATATACTGTGAGGATATACTATATAATTTTCATAAATATGACACCATATCCTTCATTATCCTTTTACATTTTGGGATATTATAATTGTTCCTTATCTTCAATTCACAACCTTGTTTTATTTTTTCCACCATACAAAAATTGGATTCTGGTTTGGAATATAATCCTATGCAAGTTTACTTAGAGATAAAACCGGCTGTGTTCCATGGGACTTACTCCCATTTGTATCTGTATCAAATTAAGCCTTAGATTCAGACATGAGGTTGTATACACTTTTGCATTTAAAATGCAGGGTAATTTTTTTATATAATGGGAGTGGTTGTATCGACATCTAAGCAGGGCAGTCTGAGGCAAACCCTATTTTCTGCTTTGGAAAATCTCTTCTGAAGGTGGCATTAGCTTTGGGGTGGGTGGGAAATGCCACTTCAAAATCATCTATGCATCTTGATGTTAGCCACTTCAAAAGGCTAAATAAGAAATTCTATTCTCTTACATGCTATGATTTTATAAGCAGTTCAGACAGCCATTCTAGTATGATCTGAAAGTCACATTCACTGATACATCATTTCAAATCTGTGCCCTTATCTTCTACTTGGCAATACTGTGTGTATGAGAAGAATGATTCTGTATTTTAATGAAAAATAAAAATGCAAGAGGGCATTTATACTTGTTACATTCAAAAAGAAAACAGGATTCCTAGAGTTATGTTTTCACTTATGGCAAGTGAAATAGTTGTCCATATGGCTAATACTGTTTCAGGCTGAGATGTTTTGTATTTCCTAGCTCTACTAAGTGAAAATTTCCAAGACTGAAACAGAATTTATATACATTTTATTTAAATATGTATATTGGATGTTTTTAATGGATTGAGAGGTGTCCGCTATATCCAAACTTACATCATTTGTGTCAATTTATGTGAATGGTATAATTTGCAGTAAAAACTTCAGATTATTAGATAGAGCCCACATGAAAAATGTGTCTGTTACTTTAAAAATGAGTTAAAGAAAGGATTTACTATGTAATGCAGGCTATTGGGTACTTTTTCCTCCATAGTATCTTGGATCAAACTAGTGGGCTAAAGTGAACTTTTTAAAAAGTTCTGAATGCTAAATTCTAGGATATTGTAACTTGCTTTACCAACAAGTTTATTTAAAAGTTCTGATTTTTAGAAGCCTGAAACATATTTTGGTTACTTTTATTTTTTTCTCTTTAGTTTCCTTGTACAGAAGAGTTGTGGGATTCAGTTATATCGATATACCAATTCAGTTGGGGCATATACCAAAAAAGTGGAAATAGGGCTGTATATTTATGTGAAATAAAAGAAGCAAAAACGACAAGGAAGTAAAAGCTTCAGAAAGCAGAAACATTTGGTATATGTTAATCAGGTCAATACTTTTTAGGTGTGTATTAAATAGTTAACTGGAAGCAATAGTTAAATCACTTTTCATTCAGATATATCTATTCTTTGTCTATCTCATTCTGTACAGGTAGTTTTTAACCTTGAGTATTTACTTAAAGACCAAGCAAAGTTATACTGGCATTTAAAAGTGACTTACACCTGGTCCTCACACTTACCTTTGCAGTGTTCATGCAGTTATGTGATCAAAATTTGGGCACTTGGCAACCAGCACATATGTAAGACAGCTATAGCATCCTGGAATCATGTGATTGTCTTTTGCAAGTTCTCAGGGGTTCCAGCAAGCGGAGTCAAAAGGAAAGACATATTTGCTTAATAACCACAGCAAAAAAGCTGTAAAATCAGATGCAACTCACTTAATGACTACACTGCTTAGCAATGAAAGTTGTTCCCAATTGTGGTCATAATTGAGGACTTACCTACCTACTTACTACCTGTCCTACATCAGTTGGTAAATATATCTACTGGTATCCAAATTACAAAAAAAGTAATAACTTGGAAGAGTTTATTTCCTTGTGTACACTAGCTGACATTTCCTTATAAATAAAAGAAATACTAAAAAAAGATTTGTCAGCATTATTGGTAGTTTTTTCTTTGCAGCTGTTTTACTAAGTAGAATCTTGATTGTTTTATTTAGCTGGTCAAATCAGAAAACATATAAAGAATGCTTGACATGTGCTAAAATGTTTTTCAAGGGATTCTAAAGATTCCTTAAATGATATGCACACCTTTTAAAAAATAGCTAAGACACAAATACAGTATATTGAAGTAGTTCTAGATAGTATCAATTGAAAGTACCTCACTTTATTTTGTAAATGCTTCCTTGTGCTTCAGATATTGCTATCATCTTTGGTATTCTTCCCCATCCTACAGTAACATGTACAATACAGGGTTTTATTTTGAAATGTTCTTCTAGGAATTTAACACTGAAACAGTAAGTCTTGTCTGTGAAAGAAGCAGGAGTTTGTATCTCAGGGCCAGTTCACTTTAGCACTGGACAAAGTAACTAACAAATACACTGATCAATTTTTCATTGCTGAGCTGATGGTTCTGCCTTTAGAAGCTTTCAAAAATAATTATCCTGGGCTATGCCAAAGGTTACATTTACTAACAGCTGAAGAAATAGTCTGGCAGGATTTCCTAGTGGTTATTGCTATGAGTCTGGCATGCACTGATCAGGTCACTCAATCTGTACTTTATTTAGGGCATCTGTAAATGTTGAAACAATAAGGCAAATAAAGACCAACAGGATAAGGCCCTATGACTACAAATAACTTGAACAAGCTCTAACCACTATATTTATATTTTATTTCTAGCAGCAAAAGAAACTTAAGACACCAAATACAAAAATCCCTAAAAATATAGTCATAGAATAATAAAATTATTAAACCCCATGAAGGAGCTTTATTAGGCTACTTCCTAATAGTACTTAAATACACATAGCAAACAAGTCAAAGATGAAAGCCAATTTACTGAATCCAACACTACCAATTTCAGCTTATTAAGGCACAGTATACAAAGTTGCAATTGGTCATAATGAGGGGAATATATGCAGGCATTTTTTTCCTCCATAGTACCTTGCTGGCTGTTTTAAATTGCTTATTAAGCTCCATTTGGAGTACATTTCAAGTGGATGCAAGTTAGCATCTTGTATGTATAAAATGTTTACCTATTACAATAAATATGTAATTCAAATAAATAGCAAGATAGTTATTTTTACAGACAAAACTATTCTGGCAGTGCTGACAGTGCTTTTACTGAAATCAGCTGGTGCACAATTCTGCACTTACCGAGTATCATATTACTTGCATTAACTTGCTTTTAAAAATCACAATTGCTAAAAATTACTTTCCATCTATTCTTTTCCTCAACCACCACACCATGTACTGTAGATCTTGGATTTGTAAAGATTATTCTTACTCAACTGAAGTATATAAACCCTGCTTGTGATGTTCAAACCTACTCATAGCAAAGGATATAATTCTAATATGACATCTTAGTTGGAAAACCCCAACACATATATTTTGATTCCTAGCAAAAAAAAAAAAAAGCATTTACTGTTTTGCTACTAAAAGAAACAAGCTAATGAAATTGCAATGTAATCTTACTAGCATTTAAGTTTGCAGCTATTATGACAAAAAGTAAATACAAAACAGGACCTTAAATCTAATGCACTCATTTTATATTCTATCATGTTAGCCAATATCTAAAGCAAAAATTAGGGTTTGTACCTCTGTGTTACTCAGATATTTATCAGGAGAAGAAGAAAAAAAATCAGGAATTTTTTCAGTTTTTAATAGATTATGGAATTTTTTTTAATCTTTAAAGGGGGAAATCACATGGTGCTGATTCTACATAGTACTATGATATTGCACTAATCCAAAAATGCAATTCCAATACTAAATAAATGTATCCTGAACAAATGTATATTTTAACCACCTATGAATTTCAGTGCAAGCCCACTTTTAAGATGTCTTCTATCACTGTTTCAATTCCTCTTAACTTACCTGAACTATGACAATTACATATTGACTCTGTAGCCAACTGGTATTTTTTTGAGGATTTGAAAGCTACAAAACATCCCAATAAATCTCTAATACGCAGATTGACCAGTGCTGGTATATAAAACAATACCAAAATGCTGATTGCATCTCTCTATCTGTAATGGTGCAGGGACGGTGCTGACAACATTGTTGCATTTTCATCATTGTAAACATAATTCTTTTGTTTGTGGCCATCTATATTAACTTGTTTAAATATATAAATAAATTTTATGACATTTTATTTCAAATAAGTTTGTTACTTTTCTATTTTCTGGTATCACCTATATTAATAGAAGTTTCCAAAACACAATCAACACACTTAACTCCAGTGCTCACATGCTTTGAGAATTACACCCTAGCATTTCACATGGGTGCAGCAGCATATATGTGCTGGATGCTCCTGCCCATGTTGGGTTGCATGCTCAACACCTACAAAGCAGATGAATTACAAGTTGTTGTTTTCAGCATTCACAGAGGAGCAAATTTCATGATGAATTGCAAGTTGCTTTTGAAGTGGTTTCCAAGATATAACAAAATTTTGTAAAGAAGCAATAGCTCAAGACCTATTCTGGATACAAGAATGAGTTACAGACTCCGATCCTAAACTCCTTTAGTGAATTCAGTTTGTGTTTGCTTTTTTCCAACAATTCTAGCTTTATGCATTTAAAAAACTAATTTTCACAAATAAAGAAGGTACTTATTTATCCATAAAATATTATAACACAAAAGTTTGTAGCTATGTTGTTCAATTACCCAAAAGCTTAAAATATAGTCATATTATATCCAGAACATATCATACCTTTATAAGAGCATTTTTCTCATAAATGGTATAACCAGCACATTTCTCCTCCTCTTTGGTAATGCTGTATCAATTTATATCAAATCATTTTAACAAGGTTTTAGGGACATAGCAAACAGATTTTAAACACTTTATTTAATAAAAGTTACATACAAAACTGAGATCAACACAGTAATAAAAATTACTTTGCCTTTTTCTTGACGGGAAGAATCTATAGGTGGATTATAATCTACCAGTTATGGATTTAAATGCAGATAAACTGGCAGACTTTCACTAATGAGTGTATCAACAAGTATTGATGTTGCCTGATTTTAATTCAGAAAACATGACAAAAGGGAACTACAATGTAACAGACATAAGCAATGGAGGTCAGATTAATGAGCAAGAATTAGTTCTGAATTATTTAATAAGAGTAATAACTAAATTCACTCTTGTTCATTGACACCATATTTTACAAAAATATTTATCTACACTGTATACAGGGCTATACATTAACTTTTTCTCTCAAACACATTTGCAAGATTAAAAGATGTCATTACTACCCTAAGCATTACACACAGCAAAGGGAAGCAATTTCATCCAGAAGAGACAATGCCAGAACATTTACACATGGTTTTCCAAATAAAATCAAGAATGTTCAGCTAAAGTAATACAGTTGGATTGTGGCATTATTTGGAGAGAACACCAACTATACTTAAGTATAGCTGAATCAACTGTAAAACTGACTAAGCACTAAATGACTCTGCAGTATATGGAATAACTGCATTACAATAAGCCATTAAGTTTTCAATGGAAATAACTACTTCCAAATGTGTATTTCATATCTCCCAGTTTTAAAGTGCTAGTCCTTGAAAATTACTGAGAAAAACTTATGCAGCTCATAACTAAATCCTTATTAATTTTAACTTCTATAAATACAGTTTGCCAGTGCTAAGCATGTTTTCTTTTTTCTGAAGAGATATCCTTTTTTCCATACTTATAAAATTTGGTATTTAGAAACGCAATACAAATCAGCCAGTTCCTAATATTTTTTCACTCCACAGAGAGAAAAGAAAACTCACTCTCACTCATGAGTTTTTTTTTAACTATAACAAAATGTTTGGCAGGTTTCTAAGCTATTCCATACTCAATATTGTCTCATATGTAGTTAAGGTGGGGGAATCTCCAAATTCTTGTACCAGGTTTGGAGTGACTTGGGAAGTTATATTTCGATGCTAGCAAAACCATTGGATATAGAATCCCACAGCACTAATGAAAGGATGTGTGATTTGAGACCAAACCCTCATCTTGAGAAAACAGTCATTATTAAGCATAAATCCTGTTTAGCTATCTTTTCCAAGATTGTAGGTCTAGGGTTCTGCTCTTTCAAATGAAAAACCCTTCCTATCAGCACATTCCAGTATATATTTAATCAGAGTAAAATCCCAATAAATATTTCAACTGAATTATTTCTGAACAAATAAAAAACAATCGTGCTGTTGTAGGAAGGTAACAGGACTGATAGATATCAAACAGAGCAAAAATATGGGATAATTATTTTATTACATCCTTATTTGCTTGGTAGTATTCTCAGTATGTGCCTGAGTAAAGACACTGTATCCGATCAAGGGCTTCAAAATATTGCAAAGGGCATTTCTTCAACACTCTAACTTTTGCATATCTATACAAAATTTTAGAATAACGGGGTCATTTGAATATTTGTAATAATTAAGGCTTGTACCAGCAAAAGCCAAGTGATGGCAACATTACGCACCAATTGTTTACTGTTAGAAAAATATAACAATAAAAAGATAAATGTAACGCCCTGCAAATATGACAATTTACCCCTTAATTACTGGGGCATCAAATGCCTGACATTATACTTTGATGTATCTTGATACTGTGTCATAGGTTTGTCTGCAATTCCACAGGTCCCAACGCCAACCTTCCCTGTAACGCTCTCAGGAGAAGCAAAGATGCTCCGCTTTACCTATGGAACAAATTAAAAATACAATTTTAGTTACTTTTAAAATGCAACAAATAAATTACTGTAAAATGCAGTTTATCAATGATTAAGCAGTCCTGAATCATATAAATTTTATCTATTTGGCTTATTTCTATACAAAGATTGATTAATTATATTTCACTGAGCCTTGTTAAATTATATTTCACTTGAAAAAACTTAACAATCTGAGATACACAAAACATCATTATAGTTTATAACATCATAAAAGCCTTGTTATGCAAAACATTTCAATTTCAAAATGTTCTGTGAACAAGTTGCTTTATTTTGGAAATATTCTATACTCAAAATAACAGGGTTCAAGTTCAAACTCTAGAGCTATTCTGAACACGAAAAAACTCTAGAGCTATTCTGAACACGAAAAAACTCTGGGGTGATCACTACATTTATTTTAGTTTCAGAACTAATGGAATTCAAAATACTTTGCCTACCTTTTTGCCCTAAAGCTTTATAGCCCTGCATCTTTACCATTTCTATTAATTTATCTTGTAAAATTGCAAATTACCCCAAACTGTTAAAAGTATGAAAAATGCTACTATGAAATCCCTCATGTGTCTTCTGGAAAGATTTTCAGGAAATGGTTTGTCTTTCCTTTCTTATAAGGCTGAGAGAGAACAGCTGGCTCAAAGTCACCTAGTTGGTTCTTTATGCCTAAGACAGAACTAGGAGTCATGGTCCGATTTCCAGCTTGGTGACCATCAAAGCAACCTGGTTATCATAACTCATACTTCCAATATACAAAGATGCATCATACACACACCTGGCCTTTTTTGTTTTTTGAATATGCTCTATTGTTGAACTGCTGCCATTTGACTTTCTGATCTTCTCGTTCCTGTTCTAGTTCTTTGATACGCTGGGCCTTTTTCAAAGCTTTCTTCTTTTTATATTCTCGTTGCTGAGCAATCATTTCTTTTCTAAAAAGTAAAATGTCATTGAAGATTACTTAGGTAGTTCATAACCTAGTTACGTAACCTAATATATTATAAATTCACTTTTATTCTCAGAACATGTAGACAAAAGCAAGGATACACTGATTAAGAGAGTCTCACCTTGGACTAGGTGAATGTAAAGACAAACTCTCAGTACAATGGGCTTCAGCTGTCCACGCCTATTTCATTCTCCAGCTGCAGAGAGTGCTGTCATTCCTTCTGTAAAGCAATCTGTGCATTGCAAGTTTCAATAAAGCACAGCAATCCTACTTTCATACACCACTAACAAAGCTCTTTTAGAAGTCAGCTGAAACTAGTCTGCTTCTTGCAAATAGAATAACTCTAGAACTAACTCAAAATTTGTTCTAAGGTTAAGCAAATTTTTTCACAAGCCTAAAGCACTTTTGTATAGAAAATACTTAATCCTGATTGAGCATCACAGGATTTATTTTATTCATCAAATTCATATCAAAAAATTCAGTCATAGAGCAAACACAAGCCTTACAGAAAACAGCATATGTTATAGTGCAATCTTTCTGAACCTGGAATAAATTCCATTATCCTCAGGCAGAATCAGATTACGGAAGGCTGATTTACAACAGTCAACATAATCCTGTGTTTAGGTGCTGCACACTCATAGTACCAGTTCAGTACTAGGATTAATGAAGTCATTTTTAATAGATCAAGGAAGCGAACTTCATATCCTAAATATGTAGTAGGAAATCTGCACATTTACTGAGAAACTAGACTCTGAATTTCAGATATTTCTATTACTACAAAAAGTACTGGTATAAACTATAAGATAGATATGGATTTGGTCATAAATACAATGAAAACCTGTAGAATGGCAACTAAAAATTCTCAGAGGGAATAAGACTGCCTGCTTTGTCCTAAAACCAAAGTCTACTTTTTTTTGGTCAAATCTATGGTAATTACTAGGCATGTGAAATGAATACAATATGTAACTCAAGGCTGAATGGATATTCATAAGAGACCTTGCTTAATTCAGACCAAAGTAGAAGATGCCTGTTTTGATTTAGCAAAGATTTAATGTAAAATGTATGCCATCCATTAACAGAAAAAAAATCACAAATGACTGAAACTTTACACCTCTATAGGATGGCATGAGATTTGTTCACTGTTACATATATTTATTGAAATAATAAAAACTAATTTTAAAGAAACATGTAGAAAAGTTACAGGTAAGTTCCTTAAATTCTGATTTATTTTATTTTACAAAAGTGATTATAATAGTAGCTTACTATTTGCCAACTTCTATTTATGTTAGGGTATTTGATAAAAAAGATTTTTTTTATAAAAAGGAGGTGGAAGTGATGGTGGTGACAATAAAGCTTTTGTCTTCCCAATCCACATTCATATCTTTGATAAAGCCAATATCAGGAACTGGTGATCTATGAGTAGAGTTTTCTAAGGGGAAACCTCATGGCTCTTTGGAGAAGATTAATGCACTGCAGTGGGCAACAACTGTATAGTTTTTACAAGTTTGCTTTTCTCCCTCCCTCCCTGGTATATTACAGAAATATGGAAGCAATGCAGCCCTTTTGCAGTTTTGCAAACAAATAATACACAAACTTCCCCTGTTCATTTGAAGGTGATTTTACTTTGCCTCCTGCAGGCATAAATTCAGTCCAAATTATCCTGCTTAATTATTCAAGACTCAGCAGAGTATGCTACATATATAGCCTAAGCACTTACATGGGTGTACATTGTTTTTTCTTTTTTAAAAATATGTGACTTCAACACATCTTATCTATATGTAATCTCTGATGAGAAAACCCATCAACAATATTTCAATTACAGCACTTTTTTTAGACTGATACCACACATTAAACAATAGAAACAATTTCCATCACTTACTTGGACATAGGCTTGTTGCCACTGTCTTCCTTTGCTTTTCTTCCCTCTTCCACAGGCTTCAAATTGAGTAGAGGTGTGACTTCAGCATTACCATATCCTGCGAAGGTGATTGCAGCTGTACCATTCTCTTCATCTATCTCTTCAATTTCAGCTTCGTAACACCTGTAAAGATATCATGGCTGTAAGCATGTGAGTAAAGGTTTAAGACTCAACCCTGCAAAACTTAAATATGCAATGATTACATTTCAAGATATTTCTGCTTAACAGTGGATTGAAATTAACAATGTAATTCTCAGGGTTATTTTATGGCATTCATTTTCATTTACTTTCTCAGCATGAATTAACTCATATTGATCTTAACCCTAACTGAATAAAATAGCATTTTTTTCTGAGGAGATATGTGTATGATTGCACTGTTAAACTCTAAATTAACAATGATCCCAATAACATAATCGCTTCCGAAACATAAAGCCACAATAACCTATATTCAAAGAACATACTTAAGAACATGACAATAGTTGTGATCTATTAGAGTGGCAATAATATAGATTATAAAGATTATCCAGTTTTTTTCAGTCACATCACCTGAGACTCAGAATAATCTAATATAATCATACATGTATATACATATTTTATAAGTGTACAATTCACAGTCCAAATTGCATACTGATATCCTATTTTATTATTTTATAAATAACTCAAGGTGGCAAATATATGCCTTCCTCCTATCTTCCTCCTCACGACAACTTTGCGAGACGAATTGGACTGAGTCTGTGACTGGTCCAAAGTCACCCAGTTTTCATGCCTAAAACAGAACTATAATTCAATCTCCTGGTTTTTAGTCTGGTGCCTTAACCACTAGATTAACTGGCTGTAATACCAATTTTTCTGCTCTCGGCGCACCCAAAGATTGTAAAGTCTTTTTCAGGAGTGTCAAACTTGCAGTCCATGGGCCGGATGCATCACACACTGGCCATGCCTACATCCAGTTTAGCAAAGGGGGAAAAATTGCAATACATCACATGATGCCACAAGGTTGACATCCCTAGTCTATCTAGTCTTAGTTAAGATTGCAGAAATTCTCCTGGCCAAAATGGACTCTATCTTGAAAAAATTCAGGTACCCACTTCAGCCCCAGAAAAATCTTGGCTGCTTCCAAATCAAGTCATTCTCCACATTTTGAACTCAGGAAAGCACCAATTTTGCTCTCCTATTTCACTAAGCCATTTCACAAATCTAAACAGTTTAGTTCAACGTGCTAGAGTGACACTTGATATTCCACACTCTGCAACTTTTGGAAACTGCAAATGCTGTCTATGCTTCAGTGGGGCATACGGAAACTCAACAGTGAAACTGTTTAACATCACAAGCATCTAAGTAACAAAAATGGAAACCAACACATATTCGAATTGTTATTGTTGAAAGAAAAGGATGGCAAGATGGGTGGCATATTATATTTAGTAAATAAAATGAATAAACAGTAATTTCCTTCAGATGGCAGAATTACATATGCTACTAAAAAGGCAGCTCATTAACATTAGTGTTAAGCTCAGAAATCAACGCTTGTTTTTTGCTACTCCATCATAAGGTGAGTCTATTATTGTAAAAAGAATGCTTTCCAGTTGCAGTATTCCCTAATTATTTTGGAGGAAAGAAATACTGTCAGAGATTTGGTTTGATGTCTTCAAATATGTCTGCTCCTTACAACGTAGGTAGTCCTCAATTATGACCACAACTGAAGCCTAAAATTTCCCTTAAGCTGGGCAACTGTTAAGTGAGTCACACCCAATTTTACAACTTTTTTGACACTGTTAAGCAAATCACTGCAGTTAAGAGAATTAGACTTCTGCAGTTGACTTTGTCAGAGGCCAATTGGGAAGGTGGGGATCACATGGTTCCGGGACCTGCAACTGCTGCATGATCCCGGGTTATGCAACAGTAGCATGCCAGTTGCCAAGCACCCAAATTTTGATCACATGTCTATAAGGATGCTACATTAATTGTAAGCATGAGAACTGGTTGTAAGTCACTGTTTTCACTGTAGTTGTAATTTTGAATGGTCAAAAATGAACAGTTGTAAGTCTAGGACTACCTGCATCAGTTTTGGGAGTCACAGAAAGACTGGACATTTATAATGTTTCCAAAGCAACACAGAGAGAAGACATTTACCAAATTTCTCACCAAGTAACAGTCTTCCATATGAACCTAACAGTAAACAATGTAATCTGCCATTCCTGAGCCCAATCCTCTCACTTTTAAAAAAATATGTTTTTTATAAAGAAAGAAAGAAAGATTGGTATGGACAGCAGATTCCTTTTTTGCTTCTTCCCTTCTGCTATGCATGACTCTTTTCCCAGGGCTCCATTTTTTCTCCAAATGATATTAACATTTTCCTCTCATTAGTGATGAAAAGTGTTATCATTCTATTTTTATTATTGTATTCCAAATTTTAAGTTATTAGAGATCACACTAATATAGACTATAGACTAAGCAAAATTGGAATTTACTAACACTATATATTCTCAAATAACATATTTGTTTAAGATACATATTTATACCTGGACTCCCTTTAAGGACAGCCATTCCTCATCTTGGTATTCTCCATACTTTGGTCATTATGCTGGCTGATGACAAATTATAATTTAAAAGACACCAGGACTGACTACAGTATCTTACTATTTTTGCCAACCTGGTGTTTACCATGATGGAAATGGGGAAAATATAAACCAAAGGGAAAAATCTTACCATGAAATTGTATTATTTCATTTAACTGTACAGAAGTTTGTTTTCTACACTTACTGTCCATCTTCACTCCATATTGCCATACATTTGTCTCCAACTTTCCAAGTGTGACTGGGGAGGGCAGACGCAGAACTATCAGAATTTGCAAGCGTTTCTGAAGGTTGTGTTGAAAGGAGGTCTTTAGTTAATTCTATAACTTCCTGATGGCAGAAAAAAAGCAAGTATTTAAAAATTAAGTATCTCCCCCCCATCCTCACAACTTTTTAAAAGTATTTACCAACTGCAGTATATACAGTAAAAGACTGAAAAGCACACGAAAACTCTATTTACAGTACAATATTTCAAAGTCAATCCCTAAAAGATGCCCAAAAGTCAACAAGATAGCAAAAACAGCCTTTGTTCTGCAGCCCTTAAGTAGCTGCATCTCTTTATTAGGGAAATATGGTCGACCTGCCAACCGCTGCATGACTCCTGTAACAACTGCCTTCTCCTAATCCTAGGCAAAGACTTGCCTGTTTTAATGAAATGCACTCATGTCTCAGCAGACTTTTTTAAACGTAACTTTAGAATTGAATCTCAAATATTACATAGCCTAGCCTTTTTTGAATATCTATTTTCTTAGGAAATATCACGGTGTATTCATGTCATTATATTCCAACTAATATAATAAGAATAAGGAATACTGTGGCAGAAAAATATTTTGGGCTGATTTTTTTACATTTTTTAAATTAAAAATAATTACTGGTGCAAAATATCCATGTATTCTGGGAAGCAGCAAAATACAAGTTTAATATATGCAAAACATACTACAATAAAATAGGTAAAAGAACTGGGATTTCCAGATTCTGTGCTAAAGCAGGAATAACCAAACTTTTAAATGTAAGATTTTAAAAAACATTTGTAAATTTTCAAATGAACACAATCTCTGCAAGATGAATTATACCATCTATCTATCTATCTATCTATCTATCTATCTATCTATCTATCTATCTATTATAATTCACATTTAAAAAGTTTTAAAACATAGTTTTAAATAGAAGATCTGTAAAAAAAACTTATTGTACCTGCATTTTAACAGATTATCAATATCTACCGAAGGTACGTAACATAACCTTTCCACTACTAATGAGGTCCAGCTAAGTTGGGGCTACTTATCTACACCAACGTTTCTTAAAGTGTGGGTGGCAACCCAGAGGCTGTGAATGACTCACTGCATTTGGTGTTGTTGTTTTTTTTTAAAGGATTTAACAGGTCTGAAGATCGAAGGGTTCTATGCAAAACTCTGACCTATCACAGGAGTGGGGGAGATATTTACAAGAATCAATCTAAAAGGGAAATGTCAAGATTGGACTTATTTCACTCTCACTGGGTTGGGAGAGAATATAAAAAGTAACTTGTAACTTGCCAGCTTTCTGAAAATTGAAACATTAATAACACCACTGTAACAGAACTGATTTAAGGCAATAAAAACCTATTTCTTAATTCCTTTCCCCAATTTTTGAGAGTTAGACTGACTGCTTTCAAAATGAAACCCAGGTTTTACCAATTATGAAACAAACAAGTCATCCCCCTCATCAAATATAAAGCTTTAAATTTTATTGGATCCTTTTGCTTATTTCCAATGCAATAGCTCCAATTGAAGTTGTTTTATTTGATGTATGGGTTAAACTGTAATGATTAAAAGTCGCATATTTTGCCAAGCTTAATAAATAATTAAATAATTAGTTTTATTTCAGCAGGGATTATGGAGATTCCTGTTATTATTTTAGAGAGTGAAGAATATCACAAGATTTGTGTACCTTTTTCTTAAAAGATAACAATTTGGGGAAGGCTATAGTACACGAAAAAAATGAAATGTCAAATAGCCATTTCTTGAAATATTGACCAAATCTGACCCAATGAAAGAAAAAAAGGAATAGGTTGTGATGCAAAATGAACACAGAGAAATTTTTTGAAATAATGTTGTATTCACTATTACGCATCTTTATTTTTTTTTACTCTATTATGACTCAAATTCTGCTGTGTTTTTATGCACACTGAAGAAGAGCTACAATTCAAATGTTAATCACCTTTGAATCACAAGCTACAGAGCATTTAAAAAACAATTTGTAAAGAACTCACAAAACCTATGTGGTTTCAGAACCTTACCATTTGAATATATTTCCCTCAGTGAACACATAACACATTAAACCAGGGGTCCCCAAACTTGGCAATTTTAAGAATTGTGGACTTCAACTCCCAGAATAGCTGATTGGAGAATTCTGGGAGTTGAAGTCCACAAGTCTTAAAGTTGCCAAGTTTGGAGACCTCTCCATTAAACAGTCTCTGCTCAACCAATTGCTGTAGGGTAGTATAACGGGGGATATTTTAACACTCAAGATATTGTGAAAAATGACTCAAATACTAACTTTAAATGTGTTTTAAATATGCTATTACAGAAGAAAATTACTTTAAAATGATACTCTGTATAATAATTAAACCAGACTTCAAAATATTTTTAACCATACTTCTGCAATTGTAGACTACAATCCCTTTAAGCAGTTGATAGCCCTAGTTCTTCTGAAGCTAATTTAATTCATAAGAAAAAACTTATTAATATTTTACAAAATAATTAATTTACAACTTTATACTTAATTAAGTCTTAATCTTATTTTGGAGCACATTCTGATTAAGATACTACTATAACAAACATAAAAACATAAGCAGTTAGTCCGAACCTGTTAGTTCGGACCCCTGGACCATCCAGTCCAGCAGTCTGTTCTCATAGTGGCTAACCAACTTCACAAAGAGGTCCACTAGTCTCCTAGCAGATGGACTTCAGAAGCATTCAAACGCAATTCTGCAGAACTCTTCTCTATACGGGAAACATTCAATTAGCAAATTTATTTCTTCTCAGTTCTCACCTGCAAATCTTTCTTGAGTTTTAATAAATCTTCATTATCTCCATTTCCTGTCAAAGCAGCTTCAACTTGCTGTAACTGAGCTTTATAACTAGCTAATTGTTTTGCCAGGTCTTCTGACATCTACAAAAATAAAAAGACGCTATAATATGAACCAAATTAATTATATGTACAACTTATTGGCCAGATTATTCATTTATTAAGAATTTTATTTCAAGCCTCTTGGTTTTTCTGCATTTCAGATCATAAAATAAAATTGAGATTATCAGGCTGAATACTATAAATCTTCATAGTTAGCAAGATGCAAGCATGACCCAAGTAATCATGAAAGAATAATGTAAATTTATATATTATTGTATGGTTATTTATACATCAACCTCAGCATGTTGATATCTGAACTACAACTGGACATGATTAAAACATTTTTTTTTCTTTTTGGTCTTAAATTTACGTTTATTTTATTCTAATCTCAATCTCCACTTTCAAAATTAATATTTGAAAAGACTGTTAATACTTTCCTAGTCATAATAAATAAACCTAAGATTTTGGGCATATTCTTTGTATTCCTTCATCAGGCTATATTAAAGGTAAGCCAAACAACTGTAAACATTTTAAGCAACAATATAAAATATCCATAGAGTTAAGGGGAAACAGAAAAACTGGACAACAAATTAAAGCAAGAAAATATAATTGTCTTGAGTAGCTTCTTAAAGTTCAAGATACCTAGTGGATCTTATACATTCAAAAATGTTTTATAAGACCAACAGAGAAAGTACAAAAAAGATTTTGACCACAAAAGCTTATATGCAGGAGAAATGAAAACTGCCACACTGAAATTTTGAAAAACTATCCAGCAGTCATATTATCTCAAGAGTTGAAGTTTACAAAGGCAGTCCCATACAAATTGCATTAATAAAAATATAAGGTCTCTTTACAATGTTTTGGTGTATGATTGGTTGTTACGTCAAATTTTTAAAAGTTGCAGAATTGTCATTTTAATGTATGACTTGCCCATCTTTCATTTAAACCAAATCTATAAATATAGGCTAATATTAAAAATCCCAATAGAAATAAAATATTTTATTAGCACTATACAGATGCTCAAAAGTTTGACACAAAACCTATCTTCTTTAAAAAATTAAATAACATTTAAGAGAAAAATATAGGTAAAGCAGATATTTGTTTCAGAAGGTATTAGAAAAATCCATTTGTATATTAATTAGACTCACGTTTCATATAAGGACATAAATCTGAGATACAGATTTAGTATGCTACGAGAGAATAATTCTTTTAATTCTGGTAATAACCACAAAAACAAAACCTAGAATTACCTTTCTACTACCAATTTGTAGGTCTGTAAAAAGCCTTTCGAATACATAACATTTTCTGCCTAGAAATGAAAACAGTGCTGCTTGATAGATTACTATTTTTAATATTTACAGAAACTCGCAAAGAGGAACAATGATGGACAATATTGAGAATGGAATTTTGCAATGAATGTACTTCAAATAGCACAAGTTACAACATATTCTTCTTCAAATGTTTTAGACTACACTTATCATAATTTCCCAGAAATTTGGCCAAAGGCTTTGTGCTATTATTAAAGATTTATATAGAAATAAAAATAAACATGAAATAAAGGTAAGAAAAATAAAAATAAAAATGTGTGAGAAGTAGGTTAAATAAAGAAAAAAGATATATAAATAAGTAACTTACTTCTTCTTTGGTACAGTCACTAAGAAGCATTACTTTTTCTACCTCTATAAGGTTGCATTGTACTTCCTATCTCTCACAAGTCTTTCCTAATTGGCTATCCATAAAGTTCTGGTTTCATCTGAATGTTAATCTTTAATATTCCTTGCATCATTATACGTATTTGTATCCAAATTTTGGCTGTTTCACAACTCCATTGTACATAGTAAAATGACACTTCATGTTTTTCATATTTCCCACATTAGTTGAAAGTACCTTTATATATCCATATAATTTTTTTTTTTGGGGGGGGGGTCATAATGATAAGTATTATAGGAGTTCTAATACAAAATTTCTGGAGAAATAAAGCTACCTATCTCAAGTTTAGACAGACACTGGATTGTCTGCTTTTCATTATTAAAAATAGTGTAGTAAATTGTCAAAGATACAGTAAGAAATCCTAAACATACCCCCCTCTTCCATTGTTAAATTTCTAGCAAGTACTTCAGAAAGAAGAAACACTTGCATTCCCCAAGAACCTTACTTCCCAAGCATAGATTTGGGGAACCTATGCCTTCCTGATGTTGCTGACAAGATAAAAAAGCTTGCATTCTGTCTCTAGGAATGTTTCATTTTCAAGAAAATCTTCTACTAGCGTGTAATAGATGGGCCTGAGACACCTCTTTTGAAAAGCACTGTCCACTTTGAAAACATAAAACCAGTAGCAATTCAAATACATCAGTCTTTTATAAGATAACATAAAAATGTAGCAGTTGTTTCTTTCATCCCGGACATCCAACAGGTATGTAGTAGTAATAGTCTTTATATTAGTGATAAGGATAAAATATAGAAATATTAGAAATAGAAAATCGGTAAAAACCAAGCTGAAGTATTATATACTGATAAGAGACAAGCAGTTAATTGTCAGCACCTAAAGTGTTATTGCATACAGTTAATATTAATAGTTAACAATTAATAGCTAATTATTAATATTAATAGCTAATTAATAATAGCTAATATTAATCATTTAAAAGGGGATTTGCCTGTGAAAAAAATAACTGTACAATTCTGATTTACACGAATTTGGCTTTAAGCAAACTTGCCTGTTATTTTCTGAAACACGTACACCTGCAGTTTATTTAGGCCAGGATTACAGCTTTTTTCCCCGGGGAGAGGGCAAAACATAACGCACCAATTTTAAATGTTATAAGCCCGAATCTTACCTCGTAGAAATCAAACGTGACCCCCTAGTTGAGTGCATTAAAGGCCCTTCATTATTTCTAGTACAGCCAGTTACAAATTTATGTAATAAAGCAGAAAAATGTTTAGAAAAGCAAGAGCTGTGACAACAAAGACTTCACCGAGAACACAGTGGGAGACAGAAGAAAACAAGGGAGAGAGAACCAACGGCATCTTTCGGAGAATAAAAGACGCTTTGGAGGAGTTGCTAATACGGGGGAAGGCATTAAGGATAGAGAAAAGACGCCTATTTTCCCATAAACCTAAAAACCAAGAACAGGATCCGCAGCTTCTGCCACTTGATATTATTACTCCTGAGCTAAACTCGAGGGCTTGCCGTCCCGGAAGGGAGCCCAACGAGTGGGCCTGGCAGAAGAGAGAATGCGCCAAGCGCCGAAGAACACAGGCGGAAAAGGAGAAGGAAAGGCCTGAAAACGGGGGAAGAACAAAGACGGCTCCCGCTCTCAGAAAGACAGGCATTCAGAGCGAGTCTCTCCCTCCCTCGTCGCGTTCCCTTTGCGCCAAAATCGGGGAAGCGGACGGAGAAAAGGGCAGCGCAGCGCAGGGCAGGCCTCTCACCTTGGCTTCGCACGCAGAAGGGCTTCTCTCCTGACTCCCGGCAGGCCTCACGGAAACTGCGCGCGCTTTGCCTTCCTGCGGCTCCTAGCGACCACGCACCACAAACCGGAGGACGGAAGCCAACGCTCGCGAGAGCAAGCAAGGCCAAGAAACCGGCCTTCAAACGGAGGTCGGGTCACGTGACTCGGCGGAAGTGTAAAGGGGAGCGGGTTTCCCCTCCGTCACAATGTATTTCGGGTATTCAAGTCGCCATTTGTTCAACCCTTCCTGGCGAAGGTGGGGGAGGAGTGGCGAATGGCCAAAACTAGCGCGATGTGCAAAATAAAAGCACCCGCTATTTATCCTTTGCGGTATTTTTAGATATATTCTTCGGTTGACATCCAGAAATAGAAAAGTAATGGGAGGGAGGGCGGGAGACAGGATCAATACATTATTTATGTCTGTTAGTATATCACATGTCTGTCCAGTCGCGGGAATCGGGCGGGATATAAATTCAATAAATTGTTATCCCCGACTTGATGTGGTGCTGAAAGTTTTGTGGATTGGATTAAACTTTGCTGCTTTGAAATTTTAATATTGTCAAAGATCAGTCTACCGCTGGACAAAAAAAAGTGCATAAGCGCACCATCGTGCCTCCCGTCCCTGTCCTATAGGTTGTCCCCATTTAATCATACCTATTTTCTGTATTCTTACTCATGTTTATACTTATACCTATTATTTTGAAAGTGGTTGACAAATCAAATAAAATGAAAGGCATTTTCACGTTATTCCTCTATATTGCACTGGTTTGAAACGCAGGAGAATGAATTAACGAATGAAATAAGAAAAATAGTTTGTAGGGGATTGGATGAGCTTCGAGGGTGGATTGCTGCAGGACACCAGCTTCTTCCAGAACCACCATCCATCTTTCACATGATGCCCCCTCTGGCATCCTCCACTAACCCAGCTGTGTGACAGAGCAAGCTCTCACAATCTGTACTGCTTTCATTGTAATAAGTCAAAAAGCTGAAAGGGAAATATTTCTTGGTCTTATGGCACTGAGGCAGGGGAATTTAAGGAAATCAACTTTCTTCTCTTGGGAGATAGACTAATCTCTTAACAGATAAACAAAACCAAACTGAATTTTAAGTAAAGGAAATTAAAAGTAAAAATAAATGTATAACTTGAACTATTAAAGTGAAAATATTCAGTGCTGATTAGAAGGAATTGTAGAGCTGGTTAGATTGTGAATAGTAGTTTGATTAAAGAAGAAAACTGCAACAAGACAAAGTACCCAGAGTAGCTCATAGGAGGTTTTGTCTAACATACATAGACCTTCTCTATTTCCGTCTGTGAAGAGATGGGTATTTTTCATTATCACTATCATCACAAAAAGTTAACAAGAACATATGCCAACATTCACTTTAAAAATTCAGTTCCCTAATTCACACAGCATCTCTACCTCAGGATGTCTAGGGGCATGCATAAGCGCACCAACGTGCCTACCATCCCTGTCCTGTGGTTTCTTTTTATTTTTCTTATATTTCATGGATTCATAACTATGTTTATACTTATACCTGTTATCTTATAATTGATTGACAAAAATAAATAAATAAATATATATATATATATAAATGTCAGTTTTGAAATCTGCCTGACAGGATGTATATTGGGAATGTCTTAAGTTCTGCCAGTTGGCAAGGAAATTACATACCCACAACAGATAACACTGAGTGTCTCTGAAGCTAACAGGTCATAAAAGAATTGAAAGGAGAAAGCCTGATATATATATGGATCTTTGGTTGTTCGGGTTTTCTCCCGCGTAAGATTCAAAGTATCTAGGCAACGTTTCGATGAAGTCTCATTCATCATCATCAGGCCTCTGTCTTTGGCTCTTGCTTTTCAGAGT